TTTTTTTATTTATTTGTTCTGGTTTATTTAGTTTTATTTTACTGCTTCAAATAAACTAAACAGAAATGTTGCCCTTATAATATTCTAGATTTCAATTATTAGTGTTCTGTTTTAATTTTAATTTAAGGTAAATTTATATATATATATATAGTGTTTGTTAATTTTAGTTTATCTAGTTTTTAGTATTAAACTTTTAAATGTTGCATTTAATATTTTAAATTATATTTAAATAATTTATTTTCTGTTTTCACGTTAATTTTAAAGTTTTAGCATTTTTTTATTAGTTATTTTAAATATATCTATATAGTATTTATTAAATTGTACTCATTAGCTTTAGTTTGAGTTATTTTAGTACCTCAAGTTAGACTAAACAGAAATCAGAAATGTTGCACGTGCCAACCAGCTGAAATAAAATAAGTTTACTTTTTTACCTTTTTATTTCATTGAATGTTTATTTTATTTCTAATAAGGAAAATGACATTAGATAGTTTTATTTTTAGATGAACACATGCACAACACAAACCTTCTCTTTCAAATAATACAGATAAACACACAAATCTGATTTTGAGAAATCTTTAATAAAACTATCCCTTTATGTTATTCTTTTTGTCAAGTCATGTGAGTGTGGTCTCTTTTTAGGCCAGGCGTTTGCTGATCCTCTTGTAGACAAGGCTGCCAAGAGTCAGAGTCTGAAACACAACAGCAATCACATGAGTTTAACTCTATAAAACTCTATAAAGCATCACATGTGCACTGATCTCACTCACATTGACCAGCGTGTTTCCATCCACCAGCTCCGTGACGGACGTGACTTTGTTCAGGACGGTCTTTAGCTTGTTTCCCTCTTTATTCACGACAGCCTAGAACACAAACGACAGCATTATCATCAATGCAATGAGACGCTCGTAAACTCATGCATGCAGGTCTGTGAGCGCAGCGTCACCTTGATTTTCTCTCCGGTCAGGGTTTCGATCTCTGCCTCCTGTCCGATGGTGAAGCTGTTGATCATGACTTTGGCTCCGGTGGTGACGATCACTTTGAACTGATCTCC